CTTCTACATGCGGCGCCATAAGAAGGACCTGCAGTTGAATATGTCGGCATGCCGATGCCCGTCTCTTGTATGTGCTCAGAACACTCCATCCACGACGGACATTCATGGCAGACGTGTACCGGAGGTTCCCTTTCCTTATACTCGTTGTCGTCATCTTCTTATTTGTCGTCTTCCTCCACGTGTGCTTGTCGTTCCGGTCGTCGAAGCACCACCGCAAACGACGCGCATCGACGAAACAGACGTCTGCAGTACAGCCAATGGCGAGCTTCAACGTCAGCAGACAAGCAGCGGTCGGGGGTGGAGGCGTATCAGGCAGGGCGCTCCCTCGACGGAGGTATGACCCGTCGGTGTACCTCCGCACGAGCAGCCTCTGCCCCCGTCGGACGACGAACAGGAAGCGGAGGACCTAGCAATGCTACCTTTGGGTAGTGGGTCGACGCAAATGTGGTCGCAGACGTTGGCAGGTGGCGCGCGCTGGACGAATCTGGGTGGCGAGTACACATCCCTCCTTTATCAAGGGTTGAAGGATGATGACGACGGGCGGGTCGACCTTAGGTTCGGGTTGTCGTCCGACAGTGCGACGGCAGTGACCCACACGTTTATCATGAACCCTGAACCTTCGCCTAGTCATGTTCAACTTCCTGGAAGTGCGCATACCGAGGAGTCGCCACTTGCACACGCTTCGTCTGGCAATGCTGGTGTCGGGGCGTCATCATCAAACCGACAACATGGGAAGCATCCGATGAGCGTGCATTGCCGTGCAACGTACCACAGAAGGGCGCCATCCAGGTGGCCGTGTCGCAATGGGGGTGGTGCGCAGTGGTGGGGGCCGTGTGGAGGTGTCGTCTGCTCAGAGAGGGTCTACTCACCCCGACGTGAGGGACGACAACGGTTGTGTTCCAGGGGTGTCTGAACGAGCGGTAGTGGACAACATCACCCGTGGAGTGTCGAACATGCGGGCGCACAGCGATGGTGTGGGAGATGATGCGGCATACCGTAATGACGACGACGACGATGAGACGGAGGAAATCAACGTGGGGGATGGCAAACACAACGTTGACATTCGTCCATTGGGGAAGAGGGCAGGGAGGGGGAGAGGACGCACGAGAGGTGGTGGTCGAGGACAGTCCAATGGTCGGGCTGGCAGAGGTGGCGCTTCCGAGGACGGTTCGAAGTCGGCAACGTATTGGACAATAGAGGAGCAGATGCTCCTAGTCAGGTGCAAGCGTGAGCAAGACATGCACATGGCTGGTCTGGGTCACAACCACGGGCGGATGCGGACGAAGGAGTGGAAGTGGAAAGACATAGCAAAACGGTTGGCCGTGTTGGGGACGGTGAAAGACGTCGACGACTGCTTCCGAAAGTGGGAGAACCTATTCCAAAACTACAAGAAGATCTTCAGATTCCAAGGAAAAAGTGGCGGGATGGATTTCTTCAGGTTGACGAACGAGGAAAAAAAGGAAGAAAATTTCAAGTTCAGAATGGACAAGGCGTTGTACACTGAGATCCATGCGAGCATGGTCGGTAATTACACCATTTTCCCACCCAACGTCGCCGACATTGGTTCTCCTGAAGGGGTGCAGTTGCCGACATGAGGAGCGGTGGCCGGGGAGTGCGTGGGGAATGAAGGTGTCGGTGATGCTTACGGCGATGATCGGTCATCGGCGAGGGACTCAAATCAAAACGGAGGTAATGGGGGCACCCCCGGAAAGTGGAAGAATGCGCGTCAGCAGATGTTCGATGCGATCGTTGATGTTATGGACCGCCACGGGCAGCTCATGTCATCGACGATTGATGCGTCCAGCAAGCGGCAATGCAGCATCATGACTAGGCAATGCGATATAACGGAGGAGGAGGTTAGTAGGCGCATTACACGGCATCAGACGAAACACAGAAGATGATGTGCAAGGCGTTGATGGAGATTGTTGCCGCCATCCGTGGTCGTTCGACGTCTTAGCCGCTTTTTGGGTGCTTCAGCCACGCGTTCGTATGCTGCACTCCAGGTCGTCTTCCACCGTCTCACACACGAGTACACATACAGACGGTAGTTGATGCGGCAATTTTGTCGTCGGTGGGTGGGCGGCATGGACCATGGATCGAATACGCCGTTCGAGGGGTTGTTGTTGGCGATCTGTGGTGACAACACTGACAAGGGGATGGAAACGCAGTGCAATTTTGTGTGTGTGTGTGTGTTTTTTTTTTTTTTTTCCCTCCGTGGGATGGTCCTGCGACTATTCGGGTGATCCTTCCCACGATGGGCCGCCATCCGTGGTCGTTGCTCATCGGCAGGTGAAAGGACCTGTTCGTCCACAGAATAAAAGATTGTTTGCAGTGGAGCAAACCAATTCCAGCGCGGTTTGGATCTTCTCGCCACACCAATTCCAGCGCCCGCAGTCATCCATCGCCGTGGCACAACATTGTGTGTTGCGCTGGCGCCTCCGGATTTTTGCACTCACCGCGTGGCAACCCCGTTCGGCTTCAACAGTCCGCGTTCACGTCCTCCTGTGAAGTGTCATGAAGTGGGCCCTTCGCTACGCGCCTGCTCGTCACGTTGCCTTCTCCGTTACGGTTCACCATGATAGGATGACCTTCAGCAGCGTAATCGTCATCGGCTGACGGCAGACAGCACACGGCGACTGGTGGAAGGTCGACACGTCGTTGAGCATATTCGCTACCATCACCGTTGTGTGGGCGGCGGACGGTGGACGGTGTTGGGCTGTCGGAGAGCGCTGCAGGAGAACACCATGTCAGCGCGTAGCAGAGTAGGTGGTCGTGTCCGCAGGAAGAGACGGGATGTTATGCCGGAGGAGACATGAGGATCTGAAAGAGGAGGGCGGCAGGTGTCGAGGTCGAAAAGGGGCCGTGTAGATGGCGCGTCAAGTAGTGGCGCGCAAACGATGTTGGATGGATGGGGTGGAAAAGGGCGGAGCGACGAAAACAAAAACGCCACGACGGAGGTCGTCCAAGGAGGGGCACTTGTTGCCGCGGGTGACACTGGGCGAGGCAGGGGAACAGCAGCGCCACAAACACACATTCATCCACCACCCCCACCGTCCAATCCTCTTGCACGGGGTGGCGGATTGGCGGCGCAGGCTAGAACACGCGACAAACGAGTCATGAATGTGGACCACGACGAAGACGCGCCAATGGGGGAAGCCCGAGTTGCTGCCGCTGTCGAACAGGGGTAGATCACAACCGATGCCCCGTACAAAGCACGCACCCAGTGCAACAACGCCCAAGCAAGCAGCCGCACTATCGACGCCACGTCAGCAACGCGCAGCCGAGGGCGGTGGATCTAAGTCTGCGGTCGTGGCCAGAGCGGTAGTGGAAGCGGCGCAGGCCCACGTGGCAGGGGGGAACGTCCAGGAGGCGGCGGGAACATCGTGGGGGGCAGGGGGGGAGGGGCGAAGGGGAGAGGATGTCAACCACCCGCTAGAGGTAGCGTGGGCGGAGAAAAAAGTTGTGTGCGAGGATGATAAACCCCTCGTCAACAGGATGCGGAGGGGAGGGGGGGTGTCGCTAAAGATTTGGTGGACCGGGCGAAAATGTGGGTGAACGACAAAGCGTTTTGGATGTCAAGGGAGGGCCGCAGGCTGTACAACATCATCCACGAGACACGCGAGTACCTTGTCGCCATTGCCAGCGGCCTTCCTCTCCCGGAGCTCCCGAGAAGTCTCGCTCTGCCGAAATCGAACGTCACACAGACGAGGATCACAGATGCCGAGCAGCTGCAGGAGGCATTGAAACGGGCAGGGACAGTTTAAAATGTCACGTTGCGTGTCTTGCACGGATGGGTCTTCAAATCCGGTTCAGAGCCGGAGGATACACCCTCGCCTTCTAGTACGCCTTGGAGTCCGTCGCTACTGACATCGCACGCGCGATGTGGCACGTTGAGGAGTGGAGCGATGTCGTCAGCCCTGCCATATGCGTGCACACGTTGGACCTGGGGATGGACCTGCCACTGTGGTTCGTGGGGGTGCAGGTGGAAGACAGACCGAACGACGACGACATGGCGGCGTACCAGGAGGCTACTATCATGCGATTGCTCACGGCTTTCAGCACAGCTGTGGAGTCAGGGCAGATGAAGGACGGCGGTTTCATCGCACACGATTGCCTAGCGCGTGTTGCAGACAGTTTCAGGTTGCTGCTTGCGGCATGCATGTGGATAATGCGAATGGCGGGAGATGATCTGCGATCACACTACGAAGCGTTCTACTTCGCCAACATTGTCGTAAAACCCCATGCTCGTCGCGTTCACTCTACGGCTGCTCGATCATTGCCGACACATCAGTAAATCAGCAAACGCGGGGACAGAGCGGCTGGGCAAGGCGCAAGTAACGTTGGGACGCGCACCGAACTACATTCCGGAGTGGGCATCTTGCGGGGTCTGCTTCTGGCATGATGCCAGCTTAACAGGTCCCGAGGATGCGAGGCAGCTTGAGTGGTTGGGGACCGGACTACCGACAGACGACGACGATGACGCGGACAGGGACGACGGTTGAAGGTGGGGAGGGGCATTGCGGACCGACGGTGTTCATCACGCGGCGTGAACGGCAATGACGATGATGATGCTGACGCGACGGCCGTGGCGATGATGAAGATGATGCACCGACGACTTGAAAAACGATGTCGACGATGATGACGGCGTCACGACGACGACGATGATGCGACCAGGCAGGGGATGATGGTCATGACGATGACGACGATACGACCACCGCGCTGAGGCGACGACGACAATGATGATGCGACGACGATGATGATGATGATGATGATGATGATGATGATGATGATGATGTTGATGATGATGTTGATGATGATGATGATGATGACGATGATGATGATGATGATGATGATGATGATGATGATGATGATGATGATGATCATGATCATGATGATCATGATGATGATGATGATGATGATGATGATGATGATGATGATGATGATGATGATGATGATGATGATGATGAGACGATGACGATGATGATGATGATGATGATGATGACGCTGATGGGATGACGACGTTGATGATGATGATGATGATGATGATGATGATGATGATGATGATGATGATGATGATGATGATGATGATGACGATGATGATGATGATGATGATGATGATGATGATGATGATGATGATGCGACGTCCATTATGCTGATGATGACGATTCGACGACGATGATGATGATGATGTTGATACTACGAGGAGGATGATGCTAAGGATGATGATGATGATGATGATGATGATGATGATGATGATGATGATGATGATGATGATGATGATGATGATGATGATGATGATGATGCGACGACGATAATGATGATGGCAATGCTACGTCGATGTCGCAGGTCTGCCCGTGGGGTTGTGATCAACTGTTTATAGTGTGCGTCGTGTGTGGTGGAGCGGTTGGTCGTTCGATGTTTTTCTTTACGTTTTCCGTGGATCGTCGATGACGAAGGACCACGATGTTAGTTCATCTCACATGTTGTATGTAGTCGGTTACCCAGTCATTGTCCATGTTCATCCTTCACGTCGAGCAGTGGCTGGTGATGTGGAGTGTTTTTCTTGTGCCGATGTGTTTACTCGAAGTACTATTTCGTTGCATGAACTCTCGAAGTGCTATCAGATGTCTGATGACCCAATTCCTCACAATTGCATTAGTTTTGTGCTTTGTTAAAATGACTCATACATGTATATCATCTACATTGATTGCAATATTCGTAATGCAGCGGAAAAAAAGGACAAGCATTGCATGTGTGGTATTTGAAATGAATTGAAAAAGAAAAATGTTCCACATTCATGGCTAAATTCCCAATTCAACGAACACAAAGGACAAGCATCGCAACAAGAACCGTGGCATCCAATCATATGCACACCCACCCGAGCCTTCGACACCCCCCACCATGGAAGTAACTGATGGAAGATAGAAAAAGAGACGACGACAGTGAACTAGGCAAAACATCAATGAATGCCAAATTACATTAGACAAATGTTTTTAATCGAAGGATCGTTGTCACCAACTACCGTCACCAACGACGACGAACTGCTTCAACGCAGTCAATTCACGGGGAAGGGCCGCACACTCAGAACACGAGAATCGAAATGAAAATAACATAATAGAAAAACAGAACCACGCAACACACGGCACCCGAACACCAGACGAACTCAATGACCAATCACAGTAACAAGAAATGCCAACCATTGTCGCCGATTATCAAAACAGTTGCTTGTGATCACATAGATAGACCACACGTCACCACCTGCACTTTCTAAGGAGGGTTGAACCTCCGTTCTCCCGACACTCGTACATCAATGCCAACCTGTCACGGAGTGTGTCCCGCAACAGGTCCCCGTCCACGTTCGCACATCCTTACCGTCCGTCAATGGCGTTCCCTACAATACCCAAGTCCACTCTATGTCGGACGCCGTTGTCGTCGACCTCCGACATCAAGTTCTCGTCGAACTCGATCCCCGCGTTGAGAAGAATGTTGTGCAGAGTGCACAGGGCAACAAACTGTTGAGGCAAGGTTTCCAAGTTCGTTTTGTGGGTGCACAGAAAAAGTCGCCACAATGTCATGCACTTCAACCGACCGAAGGCTCTTTCCACACAATCGCTCGCCACCTTCTGTCACGTGTCGAAGCGCTCCTCATCAGGACCTTGGTCGATTCCTCCGTACGGCTGCACGATCCATGGGCAGGCAATGGGGTAGCCGTTGTCGCCGAGAAGGTAACCTCGCGTGACGATGCCGTGCGGCAAATTCTCCGGAGGGGCGTCGAACAACTCCCCACTCTCTGCGCGCCTCCACAAATGGGAGTTGTGCAGCACACGGACGTCGTGAACACTGCCCGGGTATCCGATGTGGACGTCCAGGATACGCAAATCCAAATCCACGACAACCTGCGCTTGGACAAAAAACTTATGCTTTCGGTCGTAATAATGGTCCGACGGTGCGCCGGCGGGCTTGTCGATGTAGATGTGTGTGCAATCGATTGCACCGAAGCAGTTGGGGAAACCCTTCTCCCGGAAAGCACACATAATTTGCACACGTCTCCGCCCCGCCGGCCACTTGATGGAGTCCAGGTACGCCTTCAAAAGCGTCGACGTCACGTCGCGGACAACCTGCAGTCCCGTCGCCCTTCCAATGCCGAATGATGACGTGCCGCTCTCGTAAGTCTCCCCGGAAGCCCACCTGTAGAATGCGAATGCAATCACCTGCTCCACGGGCAATGGCAGCCTGTAGTGTGTCACCTTTTTCTCCACATAAGCAGCGCACGCGGTGACGATCTGCATGAACACTGCCCTTGACATACGCAACTTCTCATGGAAATAATTGTCGCTCGCGTCGTCGCACACGAGAAGATCCGCCCAAGTACCGCCCGTCCTTTGCTTTATCCACCATCGCGGCATCTCCCATGGGAAGATACCGGCGGAGAGTGCCGAGCACAGTTGCACGACCGCTTCTGACATGGCCACAGAATCTGGAGCTTCGAACACGCGTTGCAACAACGCTCTGCGCTTCTGCAAGTGCAGACGATTTCGCCGGTGTGTCGACGACATGCTGCTCATCATGTTCATGACAACGGCCATCACCACCAACGCCACAGCCCCTCGCTCTTCTTCACACAGCGCATGGTCGCCGCCAGGAAGCTCCATCTCCATCGCCTGTCGGAGTCCAGCACGCAGCAGATGATGATGAGCGCCGCCAACGCCTGATGTTGACGCCGCAGTAGAAGCCGCTTTTGTTCACTGCTGGACGACAGTACACACGCCACAGATGACGACGAGTGCCGCCGAAAGAAGGCTGTCTACGCGCGGGGGTTCAGCACCGCCGTCATTTGTACGTCGTACATGTCCGATGGCTGTCCTCCTGCCCGCCGCTCCGCGTCCGTGAAATTTTGAATTCGAAATTTCGAACGCCTGCGTCCGCGCGCTTTTCACCTCCCCGTCATGAACTGGGTAGTGCCAGCCGCCCTGTGTACCATGGACACGAGACTGGAATGGGCGGACATCGTACGCGCGGCTACGTATACATATATGAAAAGGGGCCACGGGATACCCTTTAGGACCAGTCCTAAAAGCTTTTCTTTAGGAACGCGTGTAACCACGCCGCACCAATTCCTAAAATTGTTTTAGGACTGGTCCTAAATCCTTTAGGAATCCTTTAGGAGTGTCTAAAGAGACCCTCAGAAGAAGCCAGCACTCTCGGTGCATCTAAAAAGATGGCGTTGTTTTTTTTTGTTTTTCTTTTCATGGTCCGCCTTCCATATGTCCGTGGTCGTGAATATGGTGTGACACGCAAGACCGCCGGCCCACAGTCCCTTCTCCTGTCCGCCATCTGTCTGCCTGGAATGGTCCCTGCATGCCCCCCCCACGAAATTCGAAAAAGTCCCACCCGGACTGGGCAAGTGGGATGCAATTTCGCTCCTTTCGCTCCTTCGGTGCGACGACGACCGAACAACGCCGTTCCTTTTTTTTTGGTTCTCCCCAAAAAGAGTAGTAATCGGATCAAGTGGGATGCAATTTTGCTCCTTTCTCCCCTTAGCGTTCTTACGTTAACAATAGTTCGCAGCCAGAAGGCTGCGCCTTGTGTGGTTTGCATTTCGTCGTTTCGTGTCCTTTCCATTTTCGGTAATGTCGTGCAGTACAGCGTTGCTAAGATGGGTCCGTTAGGGGTTTCCGAAAGCAGAAAAAGGGTCCGGTCGCAGTCGTCCCTAAGACCGGTCGTAGGGCAGGTTAGCTTGTCCAGGTCGTTCGAAAATGAGCATAAGGCGCCGTCCACAGTTTCCCTTTTGAGGGGTGTCGTTTTTTCCCGTTTCAAAATAGGGGCGGACAATTTGGGCCTGGGGAGTTTCTGCTTTTGTTTTTTTTTCAGTTTGAACTGCATCTCCCGACAAATATGGGAAGCGTTCATCTGTTTACTGCTTTGAATTTTTTTTGAGGATCCAGTAGCCGGTTTTTGTGTAGCTGTAAAGTCAAGAGCCAGCGGGCTTAAGCGAAACTGGCTGAGGCTGTCAGGTTAACTCCGGGTTGAATTGTGAGGTCCCCGGCCTCGTCCCATTTTATTGGAATTTT